GGAAGCAATAAGTTTAAAAAAACACCGCACATATTTACGGAAATCAAATATAATAAGAGGATCCCTATTATAAATTAATTGATTAATAATCAATTTTATTAATGGGGTCCCCTATATTATATCGATCTAATTTTTCTTGCATTGTTTAATTATAAGGTTAATGAAAATTTCGTAAGTTTCTTTAAAATCTTTATCCTTTTTTTTTCCATTTGAATCATGAAGAAATCTAAATGTGATTCCGGTTTTTTGTAACAAGGGAAACCATTCGTTCATCGATATTTCGTTTTCTTCAAAAGTCTTGATTAAATTGTATAAATGATCATATACCTATCAAAGTATGTATTATTAATAATTTTTATAAATTATGCTATAAGTCGGGCTAAAACGAAATATAGTAATCGGCGGCATTTAAAATTATACCTGTTTATATCTATTTCTGTGAGATTCGGAAAGATCGTTAGATGTTGATTGCATAAGTTCGTCTTTTACCCATTTTTTTCTGAGTTCTTCGGTTGTGAACAATTTCTTTTTTGATTCTTGAATGAGTAAAAATGTATATTCAAATAGGGTACCGATATATGGCCATTCCGCTTGAATTCTCGTAATTTCAATTTTTTTTTTCGTTACTTTTAGATATGAAGCCCATTCTTTAGGATCTAGCGAATCTGGTTTGTGATGGTTTTTAATTGGTTCAAAATCTTCGTTTAGTCTATTTATGTAATTTTCTAATTGAAACTTTGCGTAGTTTTTTTTTGATTCATTTTTGTTGTCGGATTCATCCATATTGCTTCAATGCCTTAGTTACATGTAATCAAATATTTTTTATTTAAATAGAGATCGGAAAAGTTTGTATTGTGCCTTTATTTATTAATTTGATGGAAATCCTTGTGATCCTATCGATAAGAAGTCATATGCGTTTTGCAAAAGAATTCTTTCTTTATTTGTTAATTGATGAAAATTTTGCCTATCGATAAGAAGTCATATTGTTTCTTTATTTGTTAATTGATGGAAATCCTTGCGATCCTATCGATAAGAAGTCATATGCATTATGCATAAGAATTATTTTCTTTATTTGTTAATTGATGAAAATTTTTCCTATCGATAAGAAGTCATATTGTTTCTTTATTTGTTAATTGATGGAAATCCTTGCGATCCTATCGATAAGAAGTCATATGCATTATGCATAAGAATTATTTTCTTTATTTGTTAATTGATGAAAATTTTTCCTATCGATAAGAAGTCATATTGTTTCTTTATTTGTTAATTGATGGAAATCCTTGCGATCCTATCGATAAGAAGTCA